AAGAAATTAGTGAAATGTGTTAATCGGAGGGGGGGGGGGGGGGGGAAGCTGCTCTAAAAACAGGAAGTCTTCTAATCTCAGAGGGATGCGAGGTCCAAGCGACACTTCTTTGGCCACTGTTGGGTTGGGGGCAGATCGGAGAAGGCATGCAGCTCTTTTAGCCATTCCATCTAGAACTGCCTCAGGTCCTGGGACCAAAGCCCAAGACCAGGAGGTCCTCCTTGGTGCAAGATGCTCCAGCACCATCGCCCTGCTCCCCGGAGACTGTGGCTTTTGCCTTTATTTGCATGCAGGCCTGCTGTTTGGTCATGTTATCGCAGCAGCAAGGACTGCTGGGCAGGCGGGGGTGGAGGCAGCAGGTCCCTACCAACGCAACAGCGCGGAGGAAGAGGTGTGTCCAGATACAGCCTTTCACACGATGTCATTAGAGAAAGTGGCCAGAGCTCACTCATCTGCCTTGTCAGATAGTGGGCTGCAGCACTGGTTTACTCACGAAAACGTCATTGAGCAAGAAAAAAAAAAAAGTTTACACATTTATAAAATAAGCCCCCTGACCCCATCTCCAAGCCTGTGCCATCCGCAAGTCCCCACATGCTTCAAGAAATCTGATGGGGGCGGCTTTGCTACGATTTTTTTCTTTGTAAATTTGACCACCTTACTCCAGTAATTGCGCCCAGATGCATCAAGTTGCCTGCAAGGGTTTTAAATTCCAGTGGAAAGAGGTGGTCTCCTGCCACAGCTCCTGCACCCAGGCGCACAAACACACTCGCACACGCACAAAATCTTCAAACTCAATATGCAAAGTGTTTTCAGCTGTCAGGTAGCAGTTGCTCTGGAGCTTCAAGGAGAATGTCTGATGTTTCTCAGACTATTCTTATCTTGATGCGATGACACACAGCATGTAGCTCTCTACATGCTATGTTAGGCAATGGGCATATCAGAGGTATTACAATGCCATGAAAATTTCAGGGGGCTCTTGTTTGCCTCCCCTATTATAACAGTGTAATTCCAGAGCTTTTTTTTTTTTTTTTTAATTGTCAAACTCCACTTCTTAGAAATAAAAGCACTCTGGCAGTTCAAACCACAGATTTATGCAAAGAGAAAAGAAAATCTACAAGGAGCATTTTGAGGCAAAAACTGAGTCTCATTAAATATGTTCTTGGGATAAACATCACTGGGCAATCACTGGTTTAAAGACCAGGAAAAAAAGGGAAAAAAAGGAAAAGAAAAACACATGCACAAACCTGAAAAAAAGTGTATTTTAACAAAACTATGTTAATCACAGCTTCCATGCTCTAATTGTAGAACACTGCTTCGAGCATAGCTTTACAATGGCATCATTTACTTTGATAATTGAAGCCAAACTTGGTTCCAATAACTTCACACAAAACGAGCTCCATCGGCGGGTTCTTTCAAAGGCCAGGAAGCACTTGGAGCCGGCAGAAGGCCATCTGCAAGCCCCAGCCCTTCTCAAAGCAAGGCCAGTCCCACTGATGTTAGAACAGAGGACTTAATGGGAGGCAGATGAGTCCACCTTGGACTGAACAAAAACATGCTCTGCGGCGGCACGGCAAAGGAAGGAGCGCGGCTCTGCGTACACAAACTTGTGCATGATAAATTTAGAACCGCATATAAATAATAGTTGGGATTCCAGGACAATGAGGCCAGGTCCAACACACTCAGCAGTTCGGGGCGGCCAGCTTTACCACACCACAACACAGAGGGGAGGGGAGTAGCTTGGAAGGACAAGGGAGAAGCCTAAATTCAAAATACTTCTTCTATTAAGACTTCAAATATATAACCACTAATTTGCATGCATATGCCTTTTTTTTCAGCTAGGCTCAAACAGTGTGTTTTCATTTTACTCTTCCTGTCCATTACTGGTGCTGGGGCCAGACAAAGTCTTTCAACTTGTATGGTTTCTGTGGTCTCCAGTTTGCCAAGTTTTTGGCCGTGACTCCATGCCCTGGGATTTCCAGGTGGTCTCCCATCCAAACACTGGGCTGGCCGGAGATTGCTTGGCTTCCCAGATCAGGTGCACTCAGCCCAGCGCTCCCGCACGCTCCCAACTTTTGCTGTTGTTATAATCAAACTGGAACCTACTGAAGCAAATGCAAACAGCTTGCACAGTGCTTCAAAAACATAAAGCACTGAGTAAGGGCAAAAATTCTTTAACTCCATCACACATACTAGGACGGAGGTGTGGTTTGGCCGCTTACCAGGAAAGACTTTGTGTCAAGCTTCAGCTCCAATCCTAACCGCAATCCTAAATGCTGAGTGATGAGAGATAACCCAGCCATATGCTCATCAGCTTCTAGCACATGCATGCACAAGTGGCTTCAAAAATGGATAGCTCAGGGAAGGGCTGAGGAGAATCTCTCAGCTTGACTTCCTTCTCTATGCTCTCCATGGGGCCAAGAGATCTCAAGGCAAAAGTTCCTGGAAATTCAAGAGAAGGTGATCAAAGCAAAACGCACCACCTAATGTCTTGGGAGGGTAGATCTGACATGTGAGGAACAAGTTGCATTAATCCCCAGACCAAAAAAAAAAAAAAAAAAAGAAAGAAAAGAAAAGAAAAAAAGAAAAAAAAAAAAGAACAAGGAAAAGGGAGCACTAATCAGGCAAGCAGCCACAGTTCTGCGAGCGCTCTCATGGACAAGGAGCATGTGGGTTTTTAGAAGAGCCTGAAGCACTGGTAGAACATTACAGCCAAGCCCTTCCAGCACTGAATACCAACAAAGACTAAAAGATAAAAGCATCAAACATTCCCCTCCTGGAAAGCAAGCGAAGGGCAGCAGTTCAAGTCAGGTTCTGGAGAACAGCAGATGCAGAGACGGTAACAACATTCATGCACGAGATGAGGATCACAAAACCCAGGTCTGCCACAAACCAGCTGCCAATTAGCACCTCCGTCCTGCAAACTCCCCCAGTGGGGGAGCACCAGAGGCTGCAGTTGGGCTGGGACAAAGCCAGCCCCTCGTCTTGTCCGGCACCCTCGCTCACCGCCTTTCCTTGCCGCTCACAAAGCGGAGGGAACGGACCAAACTCATCTCACTAAGACTCACAGCAATACCCTTGCAGTCACCCAATTTTATGTAAACAGGAGGAGGGTTAGTCCCTCGGTCCCTACCACCACTGCTCACCACCAGGAAGCCCTGCACAGCTGGAACCTCTCTGCAGGGCAGGAAAGGAGAGATGCACTCCAGCAAACCCTCCTCTGAGAGGCAAGCTGCAACCTAGAGAGGAGTCTGATGCCCTTTGATGTCCATGAATCACAGACACGCTCTCAAAATTCTTGTAAACTAGATGTCAAACACTTACCATACCAAAATACAAACTCCTCTTCTAGCAGACAAGAGCATACAACTGCCAGCAGAGCCCTCTCCTCTCAACCCTGATCCAACAATCCACATTTATGGCAAGGGTGGGGAGAGGAAAGAATACATTTTCAGAGGATTATACAACTCATCGTTTACTCATCAGACTCTCTCTTTCCCATCCCCCTTTCGTAACGAGAGGGCTCTTACTTTCTTGACCCTCATCCCACCTTTCCATCAACATCTACAACAAAAGGCAAGGGTGCAGGAACACAGAAATCTCCCCAGCCAAGACCATAACGCAAAATCCGTCTCTGCTATCACACAGCAGACACTGCACCCTCAAGCTGGCTTTAAACACACAACCACATTTCACTAACTTCAACTTTGAGTACATGGCCACCAGGACAACACCAAAGATCAGCTATTACTTCATACCTGTAACGTCTCTATTACCTTAAGTACTTGATTTTAAGTACGCTCCTGTATACGTTGGCTCAAAGCCATCCTAAATGGTTTTGACATGATACCCATAGTGACTGTGATGAGCGAGGTTGCACATTACATAAACCCAGTCAAAATACAAGTAGATTTTGTGCAAGTTGCATAGTTTAATGTAATAAGTGCATACATTTCCTGTTCCATGACCACACAATCGCTTCCCACATAACCAACGTATTTAAGCACTGGTTGATGGTGAAGTTGGTGAACTAGAAGGTTACATTATTCATATGTCTATATGATCCACTCTACTACTGCACTTAATAAGTTTGAAAGTTGAACCAATAATTAACGTATGTCCGGAGGACACAGTTGCTATGAAGGTTTTGATGTACAAGAGAACTGAAAGAGCCAATAGGGCTGAAGAGCACAGATCTCGTTTTCCACTGAACAGAGGGGGGGAAAAAAGCAGCCAACACCCCCAAATGCCACATTGTTTCAAGGGTCGGGGAAGGATCCATGTTACCTGTGCCAAAACAAGGTTAGACTGCTTTGCATTAGCTGCTAGCTTCCTAGTTTAACAGCTTGCCACTCAGCAAGCCTTTCCAAAACAGTCCCAAAGTCCTCCAAATTAAAACAAAGCACAGTTTCCACCAGCTCGCTTACCTGTATCCATTCTCAATCGTTTCCGTGGCTCTGACATTTGCTGTAACCCTCAACGTCTTGCTAGATAGTCCAACCACTGAAGGCAAAATTTTGTTCTTAAAGTCCGCACAGCTCCATTCCTCTTCTTCATTCAAGGTTGGGAGATAGCCACAGACAACTTTTAAGCTCCCCAGTCCGTTGCTGTTGATGTAAGCAGGATTCTCTCCTCCACTCCTTACATATTCGAGGTATATATCAGAAGTTAGAAACATCTGGTAAGCATTTTCCTCCATCACAGTCTGAATCTCAGTCTGTGCCTGGTCAAACATTATAGAATCTATCTGCTGCTTCTTGATGCTATCCCTTATGTAGGTCTTGGTCGCAGGCTTGAGCTGCTTGGAGACAATGCTGTTGTTCTCAATGTACCTTTTGTATATAGCTTTGGCTACTCTTAAAGTTTTGGTATCCTTAAGGTCCATCTGCCTGAAGCCATTGCAGGCAAACCAGAAGTCTAAGGTATCCACACATTTTTCCCTTTCCAGGAAGGTCCGAAAAAGATAGGCACCATCTTGATCTCCCAACAAGGAATGCAAGGATTTGGTCCATCTGGCCAGAGGGGAGTCTGGAGACGCACTACCCTCCGGCTCCCCGAGTCCGTTCTCATTCCTCCTCGGGGCAGGAGGCACCGGCATGGCCTTGAAGCTTTGGCTTTTCAGGAGAAACGAGCTGGAGGGCTGCGGGCATGGTGTCTCTCCTTCTTCCCCCGGCACCGGGGGGCGAGGGGCGTCTTCCCTGAAGCTGCTGCTGGGGTCTGGGAGGTGGGCGAGTACCACGGCGCTGCTCATGGCTCCGGAGCCCTTCTGGGCGCGGGGCTGCGAGCTGCTCCGCCAGCTGCCGGCGCGCCTCTGCTCGCTGCCTCTCAAGTCAGCAGGGGATCCTCTGAGCCTCCTCTCTGGGAAAAAAAAAAAAGGGGGGGGGGGAAAAAAAAAAAAAAAGGAGTATT